AATCCCTAAAAAATTCATTTTTTCCTCTATTTATCATGATGTTTCTTGTTCAAGTGTAATCTACACTGAAGACGTAGTTTTTGATAATCATCACTAAGTGTTTCAAGTCATCTTTATTTTCATCAAGCAAGGTTGTAAACTTTCAAAATGGCTGCACCCTCTGGGCAGAAAAAAGTCCACAGCCCAGCCCATTGTCCTCTTCACTACTTTCCCTTTTATTCCCCAGCCACCAGAGCAGTCCTCCGTGCAGTCCCTGGATAACAGGGCCGATTTTTGGGTTAATTCTTAGCTCTTACCACCACTCGGCAATATCCAACCTGTCTGTGCCATCAGAATTGTTGCCAGACGCAGCTCTGTATGTCTCCTTTTTTGGTGCTTTCATGCAGATTCTTCTGCTAGTTGGAGTTTAGTCTACTTCTATATCCTTCCCTTCAAGGCTTAGGGGTCTAGGACTATTATCTGTATCTGTGTTAATTGGTTCCCCTTTCCTTTGTTGAAGAAGGTCTGTGCAGTCTTTCTGCCTATTCTTCCATCTTACTGGAGCTCCACAAGTAAAATCTTGCTGAAGATAATTCAATAATAGATGCAGCAGTATATTGACAGGGAACTTCCAGAAGCTGGATTCAGAAGAGGACATGGAACAAGGATATAACTGCTGATTTCAGAAAGATCTTGATTGAAAACAAAGAATACCAGAAGGATGTTTACTTGTTTTTTCATGACTATGCAAAAGCATCCAACTGTGTGGATTATAAAAAATTATGGATAACATTGCAAAGAACAGAAATTCCAGAACACTTAATTGTGCACATGAGGAACCTGTTCATAGACCAGGAGGCCGTTGTTCTACAGAACTATATGGTGTATGTCAGGATTGAATCCTTTCACCATACTTATTCAATCTGTATGTTGAGCAAATAATCCAAGATGCTGGACTATGTGAAGAAGAATGTGGAATCAGGACTGGAGGAATATTCATTAACAACCCACAATGTGCAAATTACACAGCCTTGCTTGCTGAAGTGAAGATGATTTGAAGCACTTATAAATGAAGGTCAAAGACTAAAAGTCTTCAGCAGGGATTACACCTTAATATAAAGAAAACATAAGTCGTCACAACTGGACCAATAAGCAGCATCACGATAGATGGAGGAAAAATTGAAATTGTCGAAGATTTCCTTTTACTTGGATCCACAATCAACACTCATGGAAGCAGCAGTCAAGAAATCAGATGTTGTATCAAACTGGGCAAATCTGCTGCAAAAGACCTCTTTAAAATATTGAAGAGAGAAGATGTCACTTTGAAGACTAAGGTGCTCCTGACCAAAGCCAGGGTATTTTCAATTGCTTCACATGCATGTGAAAGCTGGACAATGAATTAAGGAAGACTGAAGAAGAGTTGATGCTTTTGAATTGTGATGTTGGCGAAATATACTGATGATACTATGGCCTGCCAGAAGAATTAAAAAATCTTTCCTGGATGAAGTGTGGCCAGAGTGCTCCTTAGAAGAGAAAATGGCCAGACCTGATCTCACCTACTTTGGTCATGTTGTCAGAAGTCACCATCCCCTGGAGAAGGATATCATGCTTGGTAAAGTAGAGGGTAAGCGATGAAAGGGAAGGCCATCAACGAGATGGACTGACACAGTGGTTGCAATGATGGGCTCAAGCATAGCAAGTATTGTGAGGATGGTGCACAACTGGGCAGTGTTTCATTCTGCTGTGGATGGAGTCACAATGAGTCAGAACTAACTGAATGGCACCTAACAATAACAACTATAGGCTTCTCAGATGGTACTATGAGTTGCCCATAGTAGGAGCCTTCACATCCTTATATTGACTTCTTCTTCTTGTCCAGGGCTTCAAACCAGTTGATTGAAAGCAAAGAATACCAGAAGGATGTTTACTTGTGTTTTAATGACTATGCAAAAGCGTCCAACTGTGTGGATCATAGCAAATTATGGACAACATTGCAAAGAACAATTAATTGTGCTCACAAGGAACCTATACATAGACCAGTTATGGCTGACAAAGTGACAATAGAATGGACCTGCATTTTTAAAATGTGGGTGAACCAGAATGCTAACCAGAATGGGAAAAAGTACAGGTCAAAGCCCTACTAGAAGCTTAATGTCCCACTTAAAAAACCAGGGCAGGATGTGCATTGCATAGCAAGCAAATCTCTTAACTGGTTGAGTCAAAAACTATGGTACCTGGGTTAAAGATGGCAGGTGACAGCACCACTCTGAATGTGTGTCTCTCTCCACAGTCCTAGGCAATAATCCAAAATCACACATCAGACTCCTGAAAGGGTTCACTATAACTTTTCTGAGTCTCCCATTCCAGGGCTTCAACCTATAATTTTTCCTGTTCTGGTTAGAATTCCAAATCACCCAAATTTTAAAATTTTGGGTCTGTTTTGGTTTAGCTTTGTTGGCCATGACTGAAGTGGTTCAAACCAATCTGAAGTCCTGCTTGTCTTACTGGGCTTGCTACCTCCCTTGCTTCCTGAAACCAGGTCCAGAACAAAATAACTTCCTCAAGGTCTTGTCTTAAGCTCTGCTTTCAAGGAAACTCAACCTAAAACTGAAAGTAATCTCATTATTTTAATTCTAAGCTTAGATGTAAGACATCACTTGTACTCACATAAAAATTCAATGTAATAGTCAGAAAATGCCACACGTTGTCAAGAAGGGAACTTAAAAAGAACAACTAATTTTTTGATTCCTTACTATACTTCATATTGCAGCTTATTTCCTATGACTTTGTAAAATATAGCTAAAGAAATAATATGAACTCAGTTCTCATCTCAAAAATGTATAAATGAGCCAGCACAGTGAGCAGGGGTTCTGAGAAGATGAATGTCCCATTTTGTTACTGTAAAAAATCAATCTTATGGGAAGTTTTAGAAAATATAATAGTCTGCAATGGATCTTACTGTTAATAATGCAAAACTTGGGTTTTACAGGTCCTTTTGGGCAATCTACTTTTGTAGTGATACTGTCTCAGAAACCCAAGGAGGGGTCGCTATGAGTCAGATACAACTCGACAGCAGTGAGTTTGGTTTATTTTTTGGTTTTACGTTTGTTAAGTTGGTGCAATGAATTGTTTACATATCATTCTCATAGTGAAGCATTTGGAACATGTAAGCGACTAATTAATTCTTGGTGAATAAATGAATGAGTGAATGGAAATGATATTGCGTTCTAGTTTTTGTTTAGCCATCTGATAAAATAAGTTGGTAATAATGTCCTGTCATATTCAAGGGAATTTTTTGAGGGTATTAAATATTTATAAAATATTTCATAAGCGGTTAAGCAGTATACAAAATTTTATTATCAATATTGCAATAGTTCTGAAAAGGGAATAAATGGCTGAGAATATATCTGAAATTTGGTATTTCTTGTTTATACTTTAGATAAATTATATGGTGATATTTTTAAAAGATTATAAGTAGATCATGAATAGGTAATTTCAAAATAAAATCTTTATTTCAAATTCATTTAGCAGATGACTTTTGAACCAGAATAAGGAACAGATTTTACTAAATTAGTTATCTGTGGAATTTAAAGATTTAATTATAGAGAGAAAACCGAATATGCTAGGAGATATATATTTTACCAGTCACAAACTTTGGAGTAATAAACTATATTACATCCTAACTGCAAATAAGACATTTTGATATCTGCAGTAGGCATGTTAGTTCTGTATCTAAAGTTTGTATCAGAAAAGAGCCATTAGCAAATGTATGCCTCTAAGCTGGTTAATTCAATTTGATGTGATTTATTGGATTTTGTGCCCAAGAACTATTCTCTTTGGTAGTAAATCTCTGCTATTTGTGGTGTGTCTTCCTGAGTCCCCCAGGATATAAAGAAATAAGGAACAACAGATCTAACTAGCCATTTAGTTGGACTCTAGAAGGCAAGGGCAGGGAGAAAGCAAGAGGAAGTGGTTATCGTTACTCTGCTATTCCTCTGGGGAGATTCTCAATGGATGTTCAGCTTTGGCATTCTGTGCAGCTTCATTTCAAGTATAGTAGGCTGTTGTTGTATGTCATCAAGTCAATTCTGACTTTTAGATACCATACAGAACAAGGTAGAACTGCCCCCATAGAGTTTCTAAGGCTCTAAATCTTTATGGAAGTAGACTGCCTATTCTTTCTCCTTGGGAGTAGCTGGTGCCTTCGAACCACCAACTTTTTGGTTAGCAGCCAAATACTGATGGAATTGACTCAATGACATGGGTTCGCGTTTTTAGAATCTTTATGGGAAAGAGCCCTGGTGGTGCAGTTGTTAAGTACAGGACTGATGTCCTATAGAATTGCTATGAATTGGAGTCTACTGATGGCTTTTGTTTGTTTGTTTGTTTGTTTGTTTATTCTTCACAGAAGCAGATCTCCAGGTTTTTCTCTCATGGAACCACGGAGGGGTTCCAACTGCCAACCTTTCAGTTAGGAGCAGGTGAGCACTTAACTACTGCTCCACTAGGCTCCTTAAGTAGAAATACCAACCATATTTCTTTCTAAGAGTAAAAATAGCACCTTATTTTCTATAAAGTCAAAGGGTACTGTTTATGTTGTTTGATATCCTTATTTCTAACTAATATCTGGTGTTAAATTGTATTTAGCTGACACATTTAAGACATGTTTAAAGAAACATAGGAACATGTGAACATTTTAGTTTTAGAAGCCATATAAGCAAGTAATGAAATAATGATCATTGAGGTGAAAAAGAAGGCTTACTCTCCTGTGGTTCTATTATGATGGGTTCACTATCCTGAGACAGAATGTGTAAGAAGTGAATCAGCCTCTGAAAACAGAGGAATATTCCAAACATATCTTCATTGAGATCAAGCTTAGTGAATACAATGATGGCACACAGCGTTACTGCTTATTATTGAGAAAATTATAAACAGGAAATGATGTAACGGATATGTAAATTGAATTTATTTGCCCTTAATGTTCAGAAAATGGATCAAACAAATGTAAGTTTGTTTCAACTTTATCTACAGTTAAGCCATTTATTGCCTCTTCCAACCCTAGTAAATCTATGAGCATTGAGATTAAATGCATAATATCGTGGTCCACTGAAGAAAAAGAAGAAGTCTATAAAAAAAAAAGAGAGAGAATTTGTTGAATTAGCTTTAAAGATTTAGACATTTTCAATGATAAATCCCAACTATCCCAATATAGCATTTAATTGAAAGCATTATTTAAAAAATAAAAACTTAAACAAAGTTATTATTATTATTTTTGTACTTACCATGCTGTTGGAAAACTGCATCAACCCTTTCTATTCCTTGAAAGGTATTTGCTATGCTTTTGGGATAACCTGGTTCCATGAATTGTCCTTGGTTATCATATCTGAGGAAAAAGTGTTACATAAAAATGTTTTAAGATAAATATGGTATATAGGTACTACTCACTGCCATAGAGTCGGATCTGACTCACCGTGACCCTCCTTGGGTTTCTGAGGTGGTGGTGTTGTTGTTGTTAAGTGCCGTTGAGTCGTTTCCGACTCATAGCGACCCCATGCACAGCAGGACGAAACACTGCCCGATCCCGCGCCAGCCCCACAATTCCTGCTATACTTGAGCCCATCATCGCAGCCACTGTGTCCATCTACCTCTTTGAAGGCCTCCCCCTCTTTCGTCGACCCTCCACCCTACCAAGCATGACATCCTTCTCCAGGGATTCTGAGGTGTATCACTATGGAAATAGATTGCCTAACCTTCCTTCTGAGGAGTGGCTGGGTGTGAACTCCCAGCCTTCTGATTAGCAGTCAAATGCCTTAGGCACTACACTGCCAGAGCTCCCAATACGGTATATAATGATTGTATATACTTTACAAAGTGCTTTCACATATATTTTTTCAGTCAGTCCTCAGAATGCCCTATTTACTGGAATTAACAATGGTTAACTTCTTTACCTATGGGTAAAAGATATGGGTATTATTAATACTAAAACAGACTTCTGAGTGCTAATGCAGTTTTTTTTCCCAAAAAACCTAAGAGCTTATACTTACTAAGAGTTATACTTGGTACAACTATGTGTGTGTATTAATAAACATAAATAAATCCAATTTGGGCACCAAACTCTGTAGGCTATTTGCATAAGGTTTGGGTGCATCAGAATTTAACTCAGGAAGCAAACTCAGCCTAATGCTTTCTTTGCATCCGACCCTAGTGTTTTGTTAAGGTTTGCTCTGTTCCATGATATAGAATCCTCAATACCATTAAGCAGTTACTTTAGTTCATGAAAAGGAAATTTTCAAAAGCCAAAGCACCAATCATATTATGAAAAAGAATTTATTTTGACTAAACTTTATCAAAGGGGAACCTAGAGTTTTTAAATCTTCAGGTTCCTTAATTTTTATCATCTTTAGTAGTTTGTAGGGTAAAGAAAAGCAGATTTCAACATCTAATTGAAAAATAAAAATGAAAACATGTTACTTTACCGCCAGAATTGATTGTTCACAAAGAAGTATGTTTTTCCCCTGTAGGAAACAGCTGCATCAATGGCTTGGACACTGCAGGGGAAGCCATAGTTTGATATATTCTTGGGATAACCTTGCTGAATATCATAGCCACTCAGAGCCCAATATTGGTTGCCTGCCAATGATTCAAGTTATATGTTAGATAAGTTCTTCCATTTATGCAAAATAATGCACACCACTTGTATAAATATAGCATAGAAATGAAAATATATCATAGAAAAAATAGTCTTTAATAGCTGAAGATGGTAAAGTTAAGTTCATGGGACTTTGTGATTTGCCTATCAGTTTCCCAGTACCTTTTTAAAAAATTCAAACTTCTTAGCCTGATAATAAGCAGCACCAGGTAAGGAAGACAGGACCACAACCAAGTCCTGTTCCCTCCTTTAGGCAGAACTAAAAGTAAGTTGAAAACGTTAGGAAATTACCTTTAAATAAGAAAACTAGGTCCTTATCAAGATCCTCATAAGCAGCCTGTATTCCATTTGGCAGGGATGGCCAGAATAGAGAAATAAAGTCTTGTTGGACGCTTCGTAGCTGAGGATGCCTTCTCCAGAAGTACCTAAAGAAACACAAGGGAGAAAAAAATTACACATACAAACCCCCATACCATTTAAATGAGCAGCTTCTGTGAGTCTCAGGCTACTAATAGGTTAGTACTGACACTTCAGAAGGCTGCTGGGAGAATATAACATGATAAGGGATGCAAAGTTCCTAGCATAGTGGCCAACATGTTGCCAGGCTTATGGTGGTATTATCCCTCTGGTGAATGCTTTACAGTTTCAGAGAAGTTCACAGGAATGGTCCCATTTTATTACACTTTGCATTGTCCTCTCCTCACACAATGACAAATCTTAATTTGTTAGTTTCATGGATTGTTATTCCCAGAAAATGATGGGCTATATACCCATCAACAGTAAATAATAGCAAATACACTCAATCTCTGATTACAAAAATAAAAATAAAAACACAACAAAAAACAAGAGGAAAAAAAACAAAAACAAGCAAACACAAAGAAAGCACCAAACTAGTTGCCCTGGAATTAATTCCAACTCTTGGAAACCCCATGTGTTGCAGAGTAGAACTGTGTTTCATAGGATTTCAAGACTGTGATTTTCTGGAAGCAGATTGCCAGGCCTTTCTTTCCAGGCACCCCGGGTGGGTTTGAAGCAAACTTTCAATTAGGCATCAAGTGCTTAACTGTTTCCACCACCCAGGGGGTCAGTCTTTGATTACGCAATCCCAAGATAGACAATGGCAAAGTGAAAAATCCAGTCAGTTAGATGAGTGGCCCCATAGTCAGTTAGTAAAGTGGTAGTCCATTTACTGGACTGATTTTGGATAGAGTTAAATGATGTTTTGGTGTCAGGTAAACCCAGCTGTTGAGTTCCCAAACAAATACAGTCCATATCTGTTTACATCACCAGAAACATCTGAATTCTTGTCAAAATTTTAGATTCTTTGTTTTCCTTTGTTTTTTGAGTTACTCAGAAAACACCAAAAATTCCAATGACATTAATACGAATATTTCCTTTTCCCAAAAAGAGAAGTTGGAAAATATATGACTTAATTAGAATTCAGTTTTAAGTTACTCCAGTAAGACAAGTCAAAAGAAGGAATAATTTAATCTTATACATGTCTTTAAAGAAAAATATTTCTCCTCGGAGTGTGGTGATAGCATCAAATGTTAATCTGGGGTCACAGGCCGTGGGGGTGCTTGGTCCAGTGGGCTGGATAGGGTTGCTTGAATGTCCTGTTAAAAAAAAGTGAGGGTGGTGATAAGCAAAGTTCATCAGACACTTGTTCATCAGACACTTGTTCATCAGACACTTTTTGGAGAGATGAAGGATTTCACATGAAGAGAAATGCTACTAGATTATCCTAAGAGGCATTAAAATAACTTTAGGCCTTTCTATCTTAAAGTTATTTTATTTTATTTTAATAAGAAAAATGATGGTCTTCAGAGCCAGGTTAATGTGTGATGTAAAGAATTTTGAATTGTAATCACTTCCTTTTTTTTTTTTTTAATTCTATTCCCTTGCTCCCCACTGCGCAACTCTCCCTCCCCTCCTTGGTGCTTTTTTCTCCTATTTTGGTCACACTGTACCCACTTACCTCTTCCCTGTCAAAACCCACTACCAGGAAAGATCTGGTTCTCAGTCTTTTATGCTACAATGTAAATCTAAATTGAGTTTTCATAATATCTTTTTTATAACTATTTTTGTTTTAAGCCATTTTCTCATTATAGAATTAAAGGCTATGTTACTAGGTACAAAACACACTGATAGTGAGTCAGATCTGACTCACAGAGACCTCTCCTTGGGTTTCTGAGGTGGTATCACTACGGAAGTAGATTGCTGAACCTTCCTTCTGAGGAATGGCTGGTGGGTTTGAACTACCAGGCTTTCAGTTAGCAGTCTAATGCCTTAGGCACTACACCACCAGAGCTAGGTAAGAGGATTTAAAACATTGGTGAGCCAAAGAAGGATATTTGGGGGTGAGGATGGAGAAAAGAGTTGAGGAGTTGAGACAATTACAGTAGAGCTTCTCATCCTTAGAAAAGAGAGAGGAGAGTGCTTTCCCCAACTTCACTCCACTCCACACTGTTTCATGGAGCACTCAACTGAAAGGTTGGCAGTTCAAACCCACCCAGTGGCTCCATGGGAGAAAGACTTGGTGATCTACTCCTGTAAAGATCACAGCCTAGAAAATGCTATAGGGCATTCCTACTCTGTCACACAGTGGCACTATGAATTGAAAATTTACTTCATGGCACCTAAACAAACAACAAAAACCTTCTTGATGTCTTATTCTTCCTTACAGCTGCTAGAGGATAGGAAGATAAGAGGGTAGATAGATAACAATGGTTTTCTCAGGCAGTATTTTTTATGATAAGGTAAAAACCTGGATATCCCTCCCTGAGAAGTATCAGTTATGCCTTTTTGAAAAAATATTCTTTTTTTCCCCCATATTCTACTTCTGTTCCCCTCCTTCTCCATAGATAACAATTTTAATATGTATACCACTTTGTTAGTATGTATTCTTGAAAACACCTTGCTTTGTCTAAATAAGTTTTTAATTTATGTAGATTTGTATATTGTGTGATACAATTTATATATTGTATGATGTGTATTATTCTGTTTCTTTTTCACCAAGCACAATATTTGAAAATCCATCTATGCTGTCACCATATGGGCATAGAATTCAGTGCCTCTGACTGCTATACGATACTCCATGGTGTGCACCCACCACATTTTGCCTCACATTCTCCTCATGATATGCCCTCAATTTCCCTCTAACTTCTATTATCACAAAGGATGTGATGCAGTGAACATCCTTAGCATACCTTATATACGTACTCTTGTGGGTCTGTTTGAGACTTTTGGGAGGGAAATATATTGAGGAGTAGGATTGCTGTCTTAAAAGGGACATCTATGTCTTTTTAAAAATCTATAAAATTTGGAAAACAAGAAGGAGTAGGAAAACTACTTCTTGAGACAACTATTGGGAATGGTTGTGGTGCATTTCTTCCTATTCCTTTCCTTAAGACAGCAATGGAGGCTCAGTTCCTCATCCTCAGGCCTCCTTTGCTAATGCTGTTCTCACTACTGTCGAGTTGATTTTGACTCATAGTGACCTCTCTTGGGGTCTCCAAGGTGGATCTCTACAGGAGTAGATTGCCCAATCTTCCTTCTGAGGAGTGGCTGGTGGGTTTGAACTGCCAGTCTTCTGGTTAGCAGTCAAATGCCTTAGGTACTACTCCACCAGAGCTCCCAATGCTATGTTAGCCACAGGTAATTTTCAGAGGTCAATTTGAGCTTTCCCAAAGGAGAGAATCTGAGAGGAGTGCAAAGAAGAGATGTTCAAGTGCAAAGGACCTAGTCCCAGCTCCCACTGAGTATTATAGTGTTCTTCAGGTGACCTTACCATAGATGGCCTGGATGCCATTGATGTCATCTTGAGGGAGCAAGTATGTGCTGGGCTCTCTGAAAGCATACGTGGGATACATCAAGGCACCAGGATCAGAGGAGTGGGAGAGCCCCAATGAATGGCCAAATTCATGAGCAGCAACAAGAAACAAGTTGTAATCTGAAATACAAGCATGTGTTGTGAATGGCTCTAAGGGTGGTAGAAATACGATCTCAAAGAAAGCAGCTTCCAAGCCAAAACTGCCTGGAGAAGCAGCCTCCCCACCCATCTTTTTCACATTCCCTTTAGATAACAAGAAGAAATGGAGATTCATAGGAATCAAGCTAGGAGTCATAGGTTGGAATTAGGTAAATGTGAGCTTGTCATCAAATCTTAGAACGAAGAAAAGCTGCAATTTTTCCAATTCCCACAATTTATGGATTTGGACCTGAGGTTTAGAGAAATGATGATCACGTGACTGTGTCATGATAAAGCCATGAGAGGTCTCACACGTGGCTCTCTAAACCCTACTCTTCTTGTGCTCCAACACCTAGCCCTCTTTAGTTTCCTGGGCTCACAGTCTCATTAGTAAAGGCTCAATAAATAGGTAGTTAGGAAATAAATCTAGGCAGCAGAGGAGTCTTGGATGCTAGGCCAACTCATGTTGTCTTCCTAATCACTCACAGTTTTGCACTGGCTCTTCCCTATTCCTGAGTTCCCCAACCAACTCTAGGAATGCTCCACTGGGAAGAGAGAAATGTCTTGTCACTCCCTTTCTCATCTTTTAGTATCTCCTAGAATAGTGCCTTTCATGACTGGCTTTTGGGGCCTTACTCACCTGGCTCCAACGATGTTAGAGGGCTTGAATTCATTGGTTCTCTGATGTGAATCCTCCACTCCAACTTTCCAACAAACACCCTGCATTATGCTACATGCCCTTCTTAATCAATAATAGTTATAGAGTGCTTACCATTTGCTAGACAAATATTATTACCAATATTTTACAGTAAAGGAACTGAGACCTTTGGATTTTGAGTGTCTTCTTCTTGGTCTTATGGCTTGTAAGTGCTGTAAGATCTTGGTGCTAAGATCCAATATAGTTTAAAAACCCATGCTCTTACCACAACATTCAATTTCCTGTTGATAATTAGACTAGTAAAATTCTACCCATGCTCCAAGACTTGCTAACTTGGTCATCACATCCTTCCATTAACACATTCATGGGTGTTCAAACATCTTGGAGTGCTTTGAGGACCACACAGCAGGCTGTGGAGGATTTGTCATGGTTCTCTGCTCTCTGGAATTGCATAGTCTAGAAGGGGAGATACATATGCAAGCAATTTGAATTGCACAGAATAATGAGGAGAGAGCAGTTAGAGAAGTGGAAGAAAAAGGCTGTTGAGGTTCTGTGGAGAAAGTACCCATTTCCAGATGACAGATAAGACAAGAGGTGGCATTTGACATAGCATGGAAACATGAGAAAGAGTTTGAAAGATGGGCTTTGGCATATGGAGAAGGGCATTTCAGGAGGAGGAAGAAATGTGAACAAGCTTAGAGGAGTTGAAAAGCACAAGATGTGATCTAGGAACAGGGAATAGAGCAATGTTGGTTGGTGCATATGGAATATGAAGACAAGCCAAGAAAAAATTAGGGCTGAAATGTACCAAGAGCCTTCAAAGCCAAGTGAAGTTTTTAGACCTTGTTTGGTACAGAATACGTGAACACTGAAAATTTTAAGCAGGAGGATAATATGTTCCAATGTTAGTTTTCCAGTGACAAGTCTTGGTGCAGCTAGGAAAAATTAGAGGCAGCAGCAGAACTTGGAGGTGAAGAATCTAGTTAAGAAACTGGGTGATTTAAGTTAGGTAAGAGATAATGACCACCTGAACTCGTGGGGAGAACAATAGGAATACAAAGTAGTAGAGCCATTGTTATATGTCTTTGGGTATACACAGCTCCTAGGACAGAGACTTGGGCATAATAAACAAAATACATGTTGAGAAAATGTAAAAGGAAGAGGTAAAGCAAAGATAGAAAGTGCCTCTCTTGTTATTATCTAAAAGCTACTCTGTGGTGTATTGTTGTGTGGCCTTGTAAAGTGCCATAAGGTATAAATATACCTGTGACTAGCCTCTTTTCTCAGCCTACAGGTACCCAGCCCTTCTTATTTTGAGCTTTCCGCTGAAAAGAGTGGTTTGCTATATGGGGACATACCACTGAAAAAAAGCTTTGTGAAAATGATAACTAGATGAATAAGAAGGTGAGTGCTCTTTTCTAAATAGGGTAATTTTCACAAATGTTGTTGTTGTTATGTGCCATTGAGTCGGACCTGACTCATAGTGACCCCTTCTTGGGTTTCTGAGGCAGTATCACTACGGAAGTAGATTGACCCATCTTCCTTCCGTGGAGTGGCTGGTGGGTTTGAACCGCCAGCCTTCTGGTTAGCAGTCAAGTGCTAAGACCCAGTTATTTCTGGATTTCCAAAAAAAATAGAGGCCTTTTCTAAAAATCATTAAATTTCAAAATAGTAAGAGAAAGGCATACTTTAAAGTGGAGGTCAGCAAACTTTTTCTGTAAATGGAGAGATAAAATTTTTTTTAGAGTTTGTGAGCCATGTAGTTTCTGCCACAGCTATTCAACTCTGCCATTGTAGATGGAAAACAGCCATAATAATATGTAAATAAATGAGTGTGGACCTGTTGCAATAAAACTTTATCTAGAAAAACATGGTTCCAGCTTGGATTTGACTCTGGTTTGTAGTTTTCTGAGCCTTGCCCTAGAAAATACAGTCATTAAGTAGCCTCAGGATTTTTTTTTTAACTTAATATTCTAAGGCAGCAAAAATTTTAAATGGTCAGTTTGAGTAAGTTTGAAATATTACAATAACTTGGATGTGAACATTAATTCTCATGTGGAGATTCTTTACTCAAAAGCTATATGTGGACATAGTCTTGGTTAACTTACTTCTGGAGGTGTTAGTCCATGTTTCTTCTGCATCAAAATGAGCATCTCCTCCAATACCGTAGCCTGGTTGAAAGGCATGAGCAAGGATTCCATTGGGTCCATCAAATGGAGAATTGTCACCATGATCTCAAATAAAAACAATTTACATTAGATCCATGCTAAGTCTCAGATTAGTCATGGGAAATAAAATTGAGAATGATTGCTTGGGCTTACCTTTTATGAAAAAACCAATCTCAATGTCTGCTTTTCCCTTTAAGATCCTGGTGAAGTTCAAGGGTGTTGGATCACTCCAGATTTCAAAGGCTCTCTTAATAGCTGTTTCCACATCATCCTTTCTCAAATTAAAAGGATAATTTCTAATCCTTCAAAGAGAGAAGATATATGAAGAGTTCATTATTGCCTAGAAGAATAAGCTCTCAACAGATTGAGTTGTACTATCTTGGAGTGAGTTGCTTATGTGATATATTACTACTGGGGATGATATAAAAAGGGGGTTCTTGAGGACAGATCTGGGTTCATGTCTGGATTTTGACCCTTATCAACTCCAGGTTTTGGACAAATTACTTTATGTCTTTAATTCTCAACATCCTTAGTCATAAAATGAAGATAATAAAATAGTATCCTTCTCATAGGGTGCTCTGTAGATTAAATGCATGCAAAAAGCATTAAGTTCACTATTTGGAATATAATAGTATTCAAAAAATATTGAAAAGTCCATAAATCAGGTACTAGAAAGAGTACAGAATGAAGAGTGAAATGAGACTTTTGCCAAAATACTGATTTATCATTTGGAGGCAGAACATAGTTTGAATGATGGATTAGATTACATTAGATTACATTATGGGAAGTGATTGCACACATTGATTCAATGTAAAGTAATCACATTTTATTACCTTACATTATGGAAGGTAGTCTGCTCTACCCAAGGCCAATTGATTTAACCACATGTCACTGCACCATGACAGCAACTAGACTATTGGCTGAATACTAGAGTATTTGGCTGAACAACTGGGAACAAAAACTTAGTCAAGTTGATACATAAAATTAACTATCACAGGCTGTTATTATTATTATATCAGGATATATCAACAACTTTGATCTAGATTCTTTCCAGTAATACTTAAATGTTTTTAGGGTCTTGAAGTGAATGCTTGAAGAGACAGCCTCACCTTAACATGGTTTTCTTTAAATTTTTGGCAGAGGAAGGCAAAAATGGTAGGCTTTGCAGTTGAAGGAATCCATGGGCTCCCTACCTTTTCATTCTCATATTTATTCACTAAGGTCTAAACTCCACAAGGGCAGGGATGTATGTCTGTTGGTCCCTGGTGTATCTCAAGTCCTAGTATAGTGTCTGACACATCCTAAGCTCAATGAATACTGAATTCTGAAACTCAAGAAACGTCACCTGTAGGTCAGGTTCATGTTTTCCCACTTGGGATTTCCTGGAGTTAACATAAAATCACTACCATCAGGTACTCCACAGCGAGGCTTTTCCATTGTCTTCAAGGTTTCATCATCTGGCTTCCCTGTCACGTTCAACCCAAAGAACCGCTGCATTTCTTTAAGCTTTTCGACAATCACACTAGTGCTGTTCTTCCTTTCAGACTGATGAATCTTGGGCAAATGGTAGAACTTTTCTAGGTAATTCTGGACAAAGACAAACACAAGGGTGACATTACTTTTAGTTCTCTGAGTATTTTACATTCCTTTCTAAATTGCTCCAGGGATTAAACTGTGACTAATAACCTAAAAGGGTTGCTATGAGTCAGAATTGACTAAGTGGCAGTGTGTTTGGTTTTTATGGTTTAATATCCTGACATAGCCACAAAAACAAAAAAACCCACAAATTTGTAGGTTAATTTTGAAAGAAAATAGTCCCTACTAGATAGAACAGCCCTTCCATTTAGTACTCTAGTTAATGTTTAAGCATAAAAATAGGGGTCTCCTGTAGGAGACAATTGCTACATACAAAATGCCACAGGCAGTAATGACTGCCTTATTTTTATAAAAAAAAAAAAAAAAAAAGTAAGAATCAGCATTTACTGAGTTCTCTTGAAGTATTAGTTACATCATGAAATTGCCTCTTTCACTCTTCACACCTATGCCCAAGAAAACCAAACTAGCTGCTGTTAATTCTGACTCATGTGGCCTCGTGTAGAACTGTGCTCCATAGAGTTTGTCAAAGACTGTGATCTTTCAGAAGTAGATTGTCATGCCTTTCTTCCAAGTTGCCTCTTGCTGAACTCAAACCTCTAACCTTTCAGTTAACAGCCAAGTGCACTAACCATTTGGAACACTCAAGGATTCCAAACACTACTATAGAATAGATTCAATCATCCTCATGAAGAAATGAAGGCTCAAAGAGGTAAGGAACTTGTCAAGGTAACAATTAAGGTGGTAACTTGTCATGTTGCATCTCAAATGAGAATTTACAATTTCAGAAGAAGAATTTCAAATATATTTTTGGGCAACATAGGCTTCACTAATATAAGCATTTTGTCCACCAAGGTAACTCTTTATAAGGAGTCTACATTCATTTGGAACTAAGTGTTCTGAAAGGTGTTAACAAGGCAATCATATGAGTTCCTTATCTCACCTTCTGCAGCCTGTGAACATTTGGTCTTTTGTAAGTGATACAAAACAGAACACAGGCTTGAAATCAGACAGGTTTGGGTTCAAACCTTGGCTTTGCCACCAATAAACTGTGAGACTTTGGACATGTCAGTTAACTGATTTAAGGGTCATATTCCTCTTGTCTAGAGTAGAAATAATAATACCCATCTCACAGAGTCATTGTGAGAATTAAATAAGATAATGTTTGTGCAACACTTAGCACATTGTCTTGCATGCGCTCAATTAGCTCAGTGAATTAGCCCAGTTACCATTGTAAGAGGTACCAAGAAATTAGCAACAAGAAAAATGCTTTCCTAAAAGTGAAATGCTAAGGAAATTACATGTGCAAATATGTTACAAAGTTTCCTTATGTTTTTTAAAATTTGGCCTATCTTTTATACTGTGAAATAACAGAAAAAGTTTTTGGCACTGTGTATATAGCGCTTCCAAGAATTTATAAACAACCTCATAGTCTGGTGCAGGTATATCACTATCAACGGATTCCTGCTTTGTTCTCATCTTCCACTTAATGCTCTCTTCTACATCTAGGATTTTTGGCTGCAAAGGAAAGTCTATATGGAATGCATCAGGCATGTAGTAATTACATTGCAGATATTATGGAAGGGAAAATCTTAGGTAATCCAGAAAGAAAGAAAATCATTTAGTTTTATAATGAAAGCCATTCCTTCTAAAAGTGTTTCCCACTTTGGAAAGCAGTTTGGAAGCATTATTTTCCGAGACTTTGGAGAGCCAGCATACATCCATACCCCGACTTTTAGAGTGCCCAGTCCTTGCCAGATTGAAACCCTCCAGATTACTGAATCATGTTGTACAGCCTCAAGCAAATCACCCAGATAATTTATTTCAGACTGTTTTAACTACGAAGAGAAAACTCACCCTGTTTCCTGTAATTGTCACATCAACTGCTCAACCCATGGGATAACTGATAATTAATTTACCTGAACAAATTTTGTATTTTTCTCTTCAAGGGATTCAGCAGGTACAGGGAAGGCTGTGGAGAGCTGAGTATGGAGTAAAAGCAGCAGTGGTAATGTCTTAAGACTTAACATGGCCTTTTCTTCAAACACTACCTCTGCTGGCCTTCCTCTCTGCTCCTCTGGTTAGGGTTCTCCTTTGGTGGCTGGCTACCTGGAGTCTCACAGCATTGTGTGTCACTCACTGCTCTTTTTTGGTCCCTTAAAAAGCCATGTCTTAAACAATTGCTGCATCAGGAGTATGAAGCAATATAGGTCATTTACCCCCTGACAATTTTGCAATTTTATGATATGATTTAGTACCCCAAAATGGGTGGAGGGAAACTGTCAGCAGAAAAAAAATAAAATTTGCTACACTTTGCATTTGGAATTTTTACTTAGACATTTTGTTTGGCAAAATCTTATGGTAAAGAAAAGGAATGCACAATAGTTAATTGCAAGGACAAACAGCTGTTTTCTGGTTATGTAAGACATTGAGGTTAATTCATTTATCCAGGGGAATATCGTTAGCTCAATGGTAGGTATCATGACACTAAGGAACCCAACTGGAGCATCCTTATACTTGCCTACTGTAACTTTAATTGAAGACATTGTATGGCTGGGGGTTGTTGCAAAATGAGGTTCATATCGGGGTTTGGAACTAGCTTTTGGAGGATGTGGTTTTGGCCTCAATGTATTAGAGAAGCCTCAATCTGTAAACCGGATATTTCATGAGAAAGGCTAAAAGAGCAAGAACTGGTGATGATAATAAATATTTGTTGATTATCATTGCATATGAACCAACTTGTTATACATACATATATATTCCATCCTTACCTAGCCCTGGAAGGGAGATGTTATTATGATCTCATTTTACAAATTAAATAAAATCCAGAGAGATTAGATGACTTGTCCTAATCACATGCTTAGTTTGTGAGGAGCTGGAATTTATTTCAATCCTAGGTGGTCAGTTTAGAGAGATGGATCTGGGTGCTGCTACATCAGATTTACCTTATCGCCCTTTGGGCCCCAAGCTGGCCCATAATGGACCTCAAGGCCTGCACTAACAGGATGTCTTGGTTTAAGTTCATGAAGCAGGAGACAAGGGAGAGGGAGAATGAAATGCTTGATATATTCTCAAAGAAATAAGACACTGAGAGGGCATTTTGCAACAGTGTGACTACACAGGGAACTATACCCGTCAGGGGCTCATGGACATGCTTTTCAAATCATGTCTGCTGGTCCCACTTCTTCTGACTCTTTTGGTAGCTCATGTCAACAAACATAGGCATCAAGTACATATTTGTACATATACTCTGCAAAGGTATTTCTGTGTATAAATGCATATGTCTACATGTATGATATATACATTGTTAATATGTAAATAAATAGTGTTTGGTTGAGATACTATGAGGAGTTCAGTTTGTTTCTGATGCCTATTAAGAGTTTCATAAACAATCTGGAGAAGCGTCTTAGAATAGAATACATATGGACAGCAGAGTAAAATTCATCATGTAGATTGCTGCATGCATTGAACAAATATTCCCTGCCACTTACTATATATAGGTACTAGATTACTGGGGTAAATTATATGAACAATTATGATATGCGGCACAGAGTGCTAAGTGCCAAGAAAGAGCAATGGTGGCAGGAAAGCAATTAAGGATGCCTTTAGGAGGGAGGAAGAAATTGAACTTTACCTTGAAGGAGAGGAAGAATGTGAACATGCAGACATGGCAATCAAGTTCTTGGACAAATGAAGTCACTTTTCTCCAAAGCTGTTCAAGGTTTTCTGAGGTCATGATCATATTCATGGGCACATAGCTTAATCATGATATGGCTTCCTTCACATTGAGATTTCATGAAAATATCCCTTTTACTGAATAGGAATGCCTTAGCATTTTCCCAGCTTATGTTTAGTTATTTGGCTTGCTTAGAAGATATGCTGCTGTTGTTGTAAGCTGCTGTTGAGTTGGCCCTCAACTCATGCTGAGCCCATGCACAACAGAATGAAATGCTGCCCGGTTCTGTACCATCTCCATGACTAGCTACAAAGCAGATACTGTGATCTATAGGGTTTCATTGGCTGATTTTTAGAAGTAGATCGCCAAGTCTTTCTTCCTAGTCTGTCTAAGTCTGGAAGCTCTGTTGAAACGCATTCAGCATCACAGCAAGACACAAGCCTCCACCCACCACCTCCAGTGGTGGCTGCACATGAATTCAACCCAGATCTCCTGCATGGAAGGCAATAATGACACCAATGAACCATCACTACCTCGTATAAGATCTGTCCTACATTTTTTTTTTTTCCTTTTTTTTTTTT